ATGCGGTTTTTGTTCTTTGCAGCTCTCCTGGTGCTTTGTTGTGCAAGGCTATTGTGACGCGGAGCCCCATTGCTCTCAGCTGGCAGAAGGCTCACTGGTCTGTGACAGCAACTCCTAACAGGCCTACCGCTTTCATAGTATTAATTCAGAAAGAGTACCAGATGAGGTTTTTAAATGGTTATGATTATTGTCGTAAATGTTGGTATGGCTGCTATGTAAGGAGTTATGTGTATATCCACTGGAAATATGTTCTGATAGTTTGTATCAAGGTGTTAATCCCCAGCAGAGATGAAGAACTGATTTCCTGCCAGAACAAAGATATTTATCCGTCTGTCTGTCTGACATGTAAATTGAGTATTGTCTCGTTCACACACCCCAGTCTGAGCTAAATGCAGAGGAAGAATTGAGATTTAACAGGCAGAGAAGAACAGCAGGGCGGTAGGAACCTTCTCCAGGGATGCACTTCAGCAGTTTATTAGACTGTATGTGGGGACAAGGAAATCACCCTGTATTCCTTTGCCTAGGAAGTAATCGGGTGCGATTACATTCATGAAAATAGGATCTCAACCCGGTTTGGTTGAAAACACTGCAAAAAGGCTTTGGGTAAGATAATCTTATTTGGACAGAAGGTCAGACAGTTCATCTTAGTCTCTAGGAATGGTGTTACGATTTTGTTTGATAGGTAACCCTTCCTTCTGTTTCCATTATCCTTGCTCACTATCTCATAAATATTGATCTTTGATGATAAACTTATGATCGTTTTCACTGTAAGTATAACTCAGTGCTGTAGTATTGTACGAGATGCTGCTCCAGAGTTGAATCATTCAAGATGGTGTGTACACTGTTGCCTTAGTGACAAAACACCTCTTATTACTGTGAATGTTCCATCATTAGGGAGCTGAACACTACAGGGGAATGCTTCAAAGTGGTTTGGGGACTGGAGTGCACCTGTCGTTAACGTGCAAGGCAAAGTAATGGGGATATAGCCCAGAGGAGATGGTTTGGGAGCTAACAGGCTGTGGGTGTCAGGGACCTGACACCCAGTTAAGCAGCAGCAAGTCTGTCTCTAGCTGGAGGCACAGTGGGTAATAAGGTGACTCTCAGTCCTTGGCACCCCGAGAATCATCCCAGGTGTTGACTGACATTACTGTGGCATGTGATTGGTATTAGAGCCCTGGCAAAGGCTGCTATGAATTCAGCTGAATCTACAGAATCCAGTCATTGCTCCTGGGATAGTGCCATGCACCACCATCCAGATCCAGTGGGATCTGTCACCACCCTTTTATAACTCAGATTTGATTTCTCCCATCTAGTATATGGACTAACAACATGCGATATACTCACATGGTTGTTCAAAGGTTTGTATCCCGGCTCTATGTGTGTTAAGGAGACGCTATTTAGAATTTGATTCAGAAATCCAGGGGCACGTGTGTTAATCTCTTCCTCTTTCTTTTGGTATCCAGATCAGAGTTTGCTGGGAGCGACGCACAGAACTCTGACAAGCAAATCTTGAATGTCTATGACCTGTGTAACAAGTTCATCGCGTACAGCTCGGTCTTCGATGACGTGGTGGATGTCTTAGCAGAGTGGGGGTCTCTCTACGTGCTGACTAGAGATGGGAAGATCCATGCGCTTCAGGAGAAGGATACTCAGACCAAACTTGAGGCAAGCCACCTTCTTAATATGTTTTATGGCTTCAGATTTGTAAAAGCTCCATAGATTAGAGGTTGAGAAGCCAGCACTTTGGACAAGTGAGTTATATGTTGGCAGTACATCGTTGCCTTGTTGCTCCCAGGATATTGGAGAGACAAGGTGGGTGAGGGACCAATAGAAGATGTGACTTCCCTGACCTTGTCTGTAAGTGAGTTATATAGCAGATGAGCTAACAGCTTCTCTGCACAACCCAAGCATTGCAGACAACTTGGGGCATGGCTACACTTGCAGATGTAGAGTGCTGTGAGTTAAACCAGCCCTCGGAGAGCACAGTAGGGAAAGCGCTGCAGTGTATCCACACTGTCAGATTCAAGCGCACTGCCGTGGCCACATTGGCAGCTCTTACAACGGCCACAGAGAGCAGTGCATTGTGGTAGCTATCCCAGCATATAAGTGGCTGCAATGTGCTTTTCAAATGCAGGGGTGGAGTGGAGTGTGACAGGGAGTGTGTTGTGTGTATTTGTGGGGGGCGAGAGAGAGTGGGTTTTTGGGGGGCTGAGAGCATGTCAGTATGCTGTCTTGTAAGTTCAGACAGCAGCAGACCCCCCTCTCCCTCTCACACAGCATTCCACAGTAATGCTTTGCTTTGTCCTGGAGCAGATAAGCATGCCGGATGTCAGAAAAGGAGATTTGAAAGGGAATATCCACATTCATGCAGCAATTCCAAAACAATGACAAGAGTGGCCACTTGACTTAAGGAGATTATGGGATGTATCTGGAGGCCGATCAGAGCGTAGTAATGCAACACCTCGTTCACACTGACGCTGGAGCGTTTCAGCCGAGGCGCACCAAGCGTTGTGCTTCTCGTGGAGGTGGATTACCAGGAGCGTTCCAGCTGCAGAGTCCAGGCGCTCTAAGTGCGTTGCCAGTGTGGACAGGTTATAAGTTAGGGCGTCCAGGGCTGCTTTAATGCACTCTAACTCGCAAGTGTAGCCATGCCCTTAGTATCTTATGCAAACCTGTATAGGGCTTTGGACAGCATTGAGTGGAAGGAACAACTAGCCTTGCGGGCACTTATGATGTTTACCTGGTGAGATGTGTAGCAGGTGAAATATGCCACTCTCTAGAGCAGAGGGGTCAAAAACCTTCTTCCTTGTGTTGGATTTATTTTCAGATGTGGCAGATTATAAGATTTTATAGTAAAAAAAACAAAAAAACACGTTTCTAGTCCTTGTGGCTGTGAAGGAAACTTCTCAAATATGAACCAAAAAGAATGCATCGGTTTATAATCTTCCTGAATCTGCAGATAGTCTGAGACACAATAGCTTTGAGAGGTGTGAACTCTCCCATTAATCTCAATGGAGTATTAATTTTTAAGCCTTATTATGACACTTGAATGTAAGCATTAATTATGTAATTGATGAACAGTTAGTGAATGGTATAGGGAAGGAGGTGAGAATGAAACCCAAGGAGGTGGGAATTGCTGCTAAAAAAGAAATGCAGAGGGAAGAGAGGAGGAAATACCTGAAGACCGGGTTGAGGGATGGAAACAGAGAAAGGAGGATAAGGCGGGAAGGGAAATAACGGTGTAGCTGAAGGGGAGCAGATTACCCTGTTGCGTGAGGCTGAATGTGACCATAAGGGACTGAACAAATAATTACTGACAGTTGTGTTATGTAAAAGCCAGATTCTACTACTGATCTCTGTGGTAACCTGCCATTGATCTCAGTGGAAGGTCTGTGCATCGAGGGGAGTGTGTTGTCCTGAACATGTTATTCGACCTGTTGACTGTAATTAAAAATTAAATTTGGCCCTTGCCACAGAATGAATTTGACACCTCCTTCCAGAGATTTAACCTTTCTGCTTTGTGAGGCTTGCAGGGCTGAGGAGAGGCCCATATGTGGTGTAGGGAAAGGAGGTATAGGGACAGAGATGGTTATTGTGGTTAAACGTAAGAGTGGCCATACTGGGTGAGACCAATGGTTCATCCGGTGAATTATTCTGTCTTCTGACGGTGGTAGATGCTTCAGAGGGAATGACAGAACAGTGCAATTACTGAGTGATTCATCCCATCATCCAGTCCCAACTTTTGGCAGTCAGAGGTTTAGGGACATCTAGACATCAGGTGTCCCTGACCAATAGTCATCGATGGACCGATCCTATCCATGAATTGATCTAATTCCTGTTTGAACCCAACTATAGCTTTGTCCCTCAAAACATCCCCTTGCAATGAGTTCCACAGGTTGACCATGTGTTGTGTGATAAAATACTTCCTTATGCTTGTCTTAAACCTACTGCCTATTAAAGGACGCATACTTGTGACCTGATGTGGGGGAGCCTCAAGGAGTCAGGACAGGAGTTGGGAGGTGGATACATGTTAGTCAATATGATGCTTCTTTGCAGTACACGCAATCTGATCTGTCCATTACACATAACATGATCTTACTGATTAAGTCCAATATATTCTTAGATCTCTGCACTGCGGTTTCCTCTCTCTCATACCTCATAAAGAGTTCATTCTCCTCATCCACCCCACCTTCAAGGCTCTGCCCGTCTTCTACCTCTTCTGCCTTCATCTCTGTTCTATGGCAGTGAGAAGCCCAAGTCACTCTGGTCTGAGGGGGAAATTACACATTTGTGAGGTGTCTTGGTTTTCTTTGGGATTCAAGGCAGGGAAATTGCCAGACCTCTGCGTAAGGAGAGAGAAGCTCTTGCTCTCATATTGCCATCTTCTCTTCACATTCCACAGATGCTGTTCAAAAAGAACCTGTTTGAAATGGCTATTAACCTGGCCAAGAGTCACCACTTGGACAGCGATGGCTTAGCAGAGATTTTCAGGCAATATGGAGATCATCTATACAACAAAGGGAACCATGATGGAGCCATTCAGCAGTATATACGGTAGGAAGGGGTCATGAAAAGCCAGGGGAATATAATGAAAGTATACAGGAGCTGTTGAGGCCTTGCATTTAGCTAGTCCCTGGGTAACAGACACAAGTCAAACCTAATGTAATGAGTTGTAGTGGTAATAAAGGGTCTGTCAATCAGCCTTACAGGGTTCTAAATTAACAGCATCACCTTGGGAAAGGAACGTGAGCATCACTATGTACAGCTCAATGAAGAACTCTGCTTTTTTACCACAGCAGTATATTGAGTGACAAGGTGTTAGGATGCATAAGGAACAGGATTGAGACTAAACAAAAAATATTATTATGTCATATAAACAGTGGTTTGCCTTCATTTTGAATTCTGTGGGCAGTACTGGTTATCCCACTTCAAAAAGGATATTACAGACTTGCGGGAGTTTACAAAAGGGTAACAGTAGTCAGGTATGGAAAACTTCTCCTGTTAAGAATGAAAAGATTGGGATTGTTACCTTAGAAAGGAGAGAAACAGGAGATGATGTCATATAAGTATATAAAATAGTGAATGCTCCAGAGAAAGTAGATCAGGAACTTCTGTTCTTTCTGTCTAGTAATACGAGAAACAAAAGGACGTTTGGTGAGATTGAAAGGTGACAGGTTCAAAACTTGATAAAAGGAAATACTTTTTCAGATAGTCTAAATGTGCACTATGGAATGTATTGTCATAAGATGTCATTGAGGTCAAGAATTTAGCAAGATTCAAAGAGGGATTGGACATTTATTATGGATATCCAGAGATATAATATGTTTGCAGTGTTGTGGTAGCTGCGTTGGTCCCAGGATATTAGAGAGACAAGGTGAGTGAGAACATAAGAATGGCCCTACTGGGTCAGACCAAAGGTCCATCTAGCCCAGTATCCTGTCTTCTGACAATGGCCAGTGCCAGGTGCCCCTAAGGGAATGAACAGAACAGGTAATCAAGTGATCCATCCCCTGTCGCTCATTCCCAGCTTCTGGTAAACAGAGGCTAGGGACACCATTCCTGCCCATCCTGGCTAATACCCATTGATGGACCTATCCTCCATGAATTATCTGTGAGGTAATATCTTTTATTAGATCCACTCCTGTTGATGAAAGAGACCAGCTTTTGAGCTACACAGAGCTCTTTTTCAGGTTTATGTAGCTCGAAAGTTTGTCCTTTTTCACCTTGCACTGGTGTTAAGTGCAAGGGATACAGATTCTTTCCTCCAAAACCCCTCTCCCCCCCGCCTCATAGGACATTTTGGGGATGAGGATTGAGAACTAGGCGATGATGGCAGGCAGTTCTGCACAGACTGCAGAGGGAGTCTAGCATCCAGCAGCCTTTCTGGAAGCTCAACCAGACGCCTCAACATGTCTGATTGCTCCTTCATAATCTGCAGCATCTCATCCTGCATGGCACGCTCTTGTTCCTTGCATGCTCTCCTGTCCATGGCAGGTTCTCGGAGAGTGAAATCCTCCATTCTCTGTCACAGCTGTCTGTGAGGCATGCGTTAACTCCTTCAACGTCCTCCCGAGTCTTCTTTTTCCACCTTCTAATCTGAGAAAGTCTCTGTCCCGGTGTGGAAAATATGGCAACGAACAAGATTTCAACTGCAAGGAATTCAAAGCACAAGGGTACCATTGACAGGGCATACATTGTTTCTGGTGCAAGGTTGATTATTTGTATTAAAAAACCACACCCCTTAATACACTTCACTGCACACCACAACATAATCACAACTGCTAGCTCTTGCAAGAGTCGGTTTGCTGCTCCAGCCAAGGTGAGTAAGGCCACGAGGCATGGGCGACAGGTTTTGTGCTGCTGCTTTTGTGAAGACATCATTGGGAGCATAGTTGGACACTTGAGAAATGCCCCCTTTCCCCTAGCAACCTGGATGGTGCTTGAGGACAGGCACCATCGTAAAGCTCCCCAAATAGTTTGTGTTTTTTATAAAGGCGGCACTAGGTTTCAGGGGAGGGAGACACACAGGAAGCTGCCCCCCCACCCATCCACTGTAATCCCTTCCAACCACAGCCACGGCACCTGAGGGAAAGCGTGGTTGCGTGACCCAGATTTCACCAAAGGGAGGCGGATTACTTGTTGTATTGTTTGTGGTTCAAGGGCTTGCATTGAAAACTTCCCCCATTTCCCCTAGGAGACCCAATGCATCTCTTGAGGGGAACAGAGGTAGCAAGGGAGCAGATGCTGCAGGCGTCTGGGTACAGACCTAATCCTTATGCTGCAATGCCATGTGCTGCAATGTCAGCAGAGTTAATACTGGAGTGGCGCGGGAAAGTGCCCTACTGTGGTGGGAAAAAATAAGGCAGCCCTTCCCAGAAACCTGCAAATGATTGCAGAGTACCTCCATGAAAGCTTCATAGAGATCTCCATGGAGGATTTCCAGGCCATCCCTGGCACATAAATAATCTCTGCGTAGCTGGAGTGGCCACCGATACCCACTACACCTCCATTTTTGTTCGGATTAAACAAAAAAATAATAGCACGTAAACCCTACAGTTTGATTGGAAATGTGTAGTCACCAGAGGTGCCTTCCCGGTATCCTGCTCAGCAGTCACCTGTTCCTGCGAAGGAATGGGCTCACTGGTTAAAGACAGTTCTTGGCTGTTGTGGAGAATGGATCCTCTGCTTGCCTGCCTCCCATTCTCCTCCTCCTCTTCATCGTCAACAATGTCCTCCTTGTTGTTGCCCGAAGTGGCCCAGGACTCCTGGGAGGTATCCACACTCCATTTTGGGGTAGTGGTGGGGTCGCCATCAAGAATCATCTGCAGCTCCTCATAAAAACGGCGTGTTTGTGGGGCGGAACCAGAATGACTGTTCACCTCCCTTGTCTTCTGGTATGCTTGCAGAAACTCCTTTATTTTCACGCAGCATTGCAGTGTGTCCCTGGTGTAGCCCATCTCCCGCATGCACCGCGTGATCTTGGCATAGATGTCAGTGTTTCTTCTGCTGAATCAGAGCTGTGCCTGCACAGACTCTTCTCCCCACACAGCAATAAGATCCACCCCCCCTTGTGTACTCCATGCTGGAGCTCGTTTGTGGCATTGAGTCTCCGTGATCAGCTGTGCTGGCGAGCTCTCCACGCTGATCAAACAGGAAATGAAACTTCAAACGTTCCTGGGGCTTTAACAGGGGAGGGGCTGTTTCCTATGTATCTGGTTGCCATGCAGTGGAGTTGAAAGCGCTTTCCAGAGCGGTCACAGCAGAACACTGTGGGACACCTCCTGGAGGCCAATTCATTTGAATTACACAACGCAGTGTCTACACTAGCCTCTGTTGACCCGTGGATGTCGAATCAAGTGCTTCGCCTCTCGCAGAGGTGGAATAAAGAAGTCGACTTTACAACAACGTAGGTCAGCGGAAGGGACTCCGTATTGTAGAGACATATATTAATAGATTGACATAACATGGTTTCCGTTGACCTAAGTTTGTAGTGTAGACCAGGCCTTAGTGATACAATAGTTAATGCGGACAAAAATTGCTTCAAGTAGCCAATCTAATTTTTTGGGATTAGGATGAGGTCTTCATGGGGGGACAGATTATCCCAAATCTGCCTACTGTGAGGTTTCTTGTACCTTTCTCTGAAGTATTTGGTGCCAAACATTGCCATAGGCAGGATAATGGACTAGATGAATCACAGATCTGATCCATCTGGTAATTCGTATGTAACACCTGGGGAATGTTTAAAAAAATAAGACTACATTCAGTGAAATATTTAAAAACAAACAAACATCTCATACATTTCTTTATACCACGGTATATACAACTTTAACAAAACCTGCATTTTTGGGCCTAAAATAACTTGACAAGTGGCCTTTTAAAGTTTCATAAAGTGGGGTATTAGCAAGAGACAGCTCTAAGCAAGAACTACTGTCTGTCTTATTTAGAACCAGTATTTCTGTTTCTGGGATTCTTGGGGTTTATGTAGTGTTGACATAAATTTTACTATAGAGTTGTGATCACAACAGTGTAATAGCAGGATAATAGTGGCTAAGATGTTGAAGTGGGGAGAAGAGCTCTGACTATAGGGCTCAGGAAACCTTGTTTTTAAACCCTTTTTGAGGTGGTCTTAACTCAGTTGTGTGTCAAAACCCCCACACCTTCCCTTAAAATAAGATGTTAAGTCGTCATGTGTTTCCACCCCAACCTTAATCCGAGGCCTCTGGGGCAGAGTATTAAGTTTGCTGCACTACATGTGAGGATGGATGGTATTATGGTCTGACCAGTCATTATTTCTGAAACATAGCTGGGACCCTAGTGGGTGGGTTCCTGTTGGTGTCCAGAGCTTTATTGCTGTGCTGTCAATTCTCTTATCTCTGGCTTATTGAAAGTAGAGCCCTCATGTCACTTTTCTCTCAAGAACCATTGGGAAGCTAGAGCCATCTTATGTGATCCGGAAGTTCTTAGATGCTCAGCGTATACACAACCTGACTGCGTACTTGCAGACACTCCACCTACAGTCCCTTGCCAACGCAGACCACACCACCCTGCTGCTAAACTGCTACACCAAACTCAAAGACAGCTCCAAACTGGAGGAGTTCATCAAGGTAATGGGGGAAGGTAAAAGTAGTTATGCAAAACCATCAGGTTAGTACAGTGATTAGAAAAAGGGCAATAGCAACATGGTAGACTGATTCCAGTAGTAGCTTTGCCCGCATAAGGGCTGCTAGATTAGTCCTTAACATCCTCATGCACATGTGCACATATCTCTAAACTTCCAGCACCACAGCAGCATTGTTTTGATTTGCCATCTTAAGCTTTGAGCATGGAAGATTTTGTTTTCCTAGTGTGATTAAATCTTAGAAATCTAACTAGAACAATGGCTATCTGCACATGCAATGCTTGTCTTGCATGAGAGGAATTTAACAGTTGCTGTTTGGGTCCTCATGCATGGAAGCTGGTCTGTCTTTGCCAACAGCCTAGAGGACTCTTGCTGATAGGCCAGATGTCTGCAAATCCATATCAGGCCTATCTCTCTCCCTCTCCCCCAATAATGCCCCATCATTTCCTCCTTGCAGACCAGTGAGAGTGAGGTCCACTTTGATGTGGAGACAGCAATCAAGGTACTCCGTCAAGCAGGTTACTTTTCCCATGCTGTGTACCTGGCAGAGAAGCATGCACACCATGAATGGTTCCTCAAAATCCAGCTGGAGGACATCAAGGTGAGAAGATACCTTTAACTATTTCTGTTTGATCCCTATATGGTGTGAAAGCCTCTCTGTCAGGAATGCTCCTCCATGCAGCATGGGAGTCTAAGCTGCTCAGGGGACAATTGTGCTAGCAGTATGAACAACTGCTAGCATTGTGCACTAGTCAGACTTACCTCTGAGGCATATAAGTAATTACACAGGGCTTAAATGTGCTCTTACTTCAGGTGCTGCTACTGGGATAGTTGTTTTGTCCTGGATCAGTGCCAGTTGTCCATCTGGCTGCCACCATCTCACCCCACAGATGGCCGCATTTCGTTGGTGGGCAAAGTTATCATTTGGGATACCCTTTTTGTTTGTTTGTTTGTTTGTTTTAAATAAAATACTGCATTGTTTCCCTGCATGTTGGCTATTGTGCAGAGAGGGCTTTGGCTTTTGTATCTGAATTACAGAGGGTGGTACCATATGACTATCACCAGCTCTCCCTTGCAGAATTACCAGGAGGCCTTGCAGTACATTGGCAAGCTGCCCTTTGACCAGGCAGAAAGTAACATGAAGCGGTATGGCAAAATCCTGATGCACCATGTCCCCAATGAGACCACGGAACTGCTGAAGATCCTATGCACGGACTACCGGCCAACAGGAGATCGTGAAGGCTCTGGGATGCTGGAGGGGAAAAAGGTAAGATCTGGGTAACTGAACCAGTGTGCCCTTGAGAGGTTGAGTGAGGAGATGTAGCTAATTTGATGATTTCATAGCTGACAAATATGACTAGAAAGTGTTGGAGCAAAGGGACGTTTCCCATGGAGACGTGGGGTCACAGATGCCATAAGAAACCTAGTGCTTTGTTCCATTGCTATTGAAGACTTAACAGACCAGGGGGTCACCTTATGGTATTGGGTAGGTCTGAAGACTCATGCATTGCATTGGAAAAATACTGACACTTTTGGATCATGGGAGAGGTGGCATCTTTACTACCGCTACCTGTATAATTGCTTCTTAAGTGAACAAGAAGCTGGAGACCTCGGGTCTGGTCCCAGATTGATCTCTCCTCTCCTCTGGGTAAACAGAGGCAATGGTGAAGTGACCTGTCCAAGGCTGTACAATCCATGGCAGAGCTGTGACTAGAACAGGAGCAGTAGCTCCCAAGGCTCTGCTTTAAGCACTAGGCAACTCTCTTCACTAGTTCCTCCCCCTCTCTTCCCAAACCTCTGCACTGGAACATATGAGCAGAGCCCATCCTCCCATCACCACCCTAAGGGGAGTTGATGATGTGTTGGCAGAGGCTTTGGAGCAGGGAAATTGGATTGCTTGGACCGGTAGGTCCCACCAGCACCCTCTAGTTCCCCACCACTGCATCCTAGTCAATGGGACACAAGGGTCCATGTGGCTTCTGTTCCCTAGAAACGTTGGGAGGGCCTTGTCAAGCCTGACCTTAAAAACCTCTAAGGAAAGAGATTCCACCACCTCCGTAGGTAACCTATTCTAGTGCTTCACCACACTCCTAGTGAAAAAGTTTTTCCTAATATCCAACTAAACCTCCCCCACTGCAACTTGAGACCGTTACTCCTTGTTCTGTCATCTGGTACCACTGAGAACAGTCTAGATCCATCCTCTTTGGAACCCCCTTCAGGTAATTGAAAGCAGCTATCAAATCCCCCCTCATTCTTCTTTTCTGTAGACTAAACAATCCCAGTTCTCTCGGCCTCTCCTCATAAGTCATGTGCTCCAGCCCCCTAATCATTTTCGTTGCCCTCTGCTGGACTCTTTCCAATTTTTCCACATCCTTCTTGTACTGTGGGGCCCAAAACTGGACACAGTACTCCAGATGAGGCCTCACCAATGCCGAATAGAGGGGAATGATCACGTCCCTCGATCTGCTGGCCATGCCCCTACTTATACGGCCCAAAATGCCATTAGCCTTCTTAGCAACAAGGGCGCACTGTCGACTCGTATCCAGCTTCTCATCCACTGTGACCCCTAGGTCCTTTTCTGCAGAACTGCTTCCTGGCCATTTGGTCCCTAGTCTGTAGCAGTGCATTGGATGCTTCCATCCTAAGTGCAGGACTCTGCACTTGTCCTTGTTGAACCTCATCTGATTTTTTTGGGCCCAGTCCTCTAATTTGTCTAGGTCCTTCTGTATCCTATCTCTACCCTCCAGTGTATCTACCACTCCTCCCAGTTTAGTGTCATCCGCAAACTTGCTGAGGGTGCAGTCCACGCCATCCTCCAGATCGTTAATGAAGATATTGAGCAAAACCGGCCCCAGGACTGACCCTTGGGGCACTCCGCTTGATACCGGCTGCCAACTAGATATGGAGCCATTGATCACTACCTGTTGAGCCCGACGATCTAGCCAGCTTTCTATCCACCTTATAGTCCATTCATCCAGCCCATAATTCTTTAACTTGCCGGCAAGAATACTGTGGGAGACTGTATCAAAAGCTTTGCTAAAGTCAAGGAATAACACTTCCACTGCTTTCCCCTCATCGACAGAGCCAGTTATCTCGTCATAGAAGGCAATTAGGTTAGTCAGGCATGACTTTCCCTTGGTGAATCTATGCTGACTGTTCCTGATCACTTTCCTCTCCTCTAAGTGCTTCAGAATTGATTCCTTGAGGACCTGCTCCATGATTTTTCCAGGGACTGAGGTGAGGTTGACTGGCTTGTAGTTCCCCGGATCCTCCTCCTTCCCTTTTTTAAAGATGGGCACTACATTAGCCTTTTTCCAGTCATCCGGGACCTCCCCCGATCGCCATGAGTTTTCAAAGATAATGGCCAATGGCTCTGCAATCGCATCTGCCAACTCCTTTAGCACTCTCGGATGCAGCGCATCCGGCCCCATGAACTTGTGCTCGTCCAGCTTTTCTAAATAGTCCTGAACCACTTCTTTCTCCACGGAGGGCTGGTCGCCTCCTCCCCATGCTGTGCTGCCCAGTGCAGTAGTCTGGGAGCTGACCTTGTTTGTGAAGACAGAAGCAAAAGAAGCATTGAGTACATTAGCTTTTTCCACATCCTCTGTCACTAGGTTGCCTCCCGCATTCAGTAAGGGGCCCACACTTTCCTTGACTTTCTTCTTGTTGCTAACATACCTGAAGAAACCCTTCTTGTTACTCTTAACATCTCTTGCTAGCTGCAACTCCAAGTATGATTTGGCTTTCCTGATTTCACTCCTGCATGCCTGAGCAATATTTTTATACTCCTGCCTGGTCATTTATCCAATCTTCCACTTCTTGTAAGCTTCTTTTTTGCGTTTAAGATCAGCAAGGATTTCACTGTTAAGCCAAGCTGGTCGCCTGCCATATTTACTATTCTTTCTACACATTGGGATGGTTTGTTCCTGCAACCTCAATAAGGATTCTTTAAAATACAGCCAGCTCTCCTGGACTCTTTTTCCCCCTCATGTTATTCTCCCAGGGGATCCTGCCCATCAGTTCCCTGAGGGAGTCAGTCTGCTTTTCTGAAGTCCAGGGTCCGTATTGTGCTGCTTTCCTTTCTTCCTTGTGTCAGGATCCTGAACTCGACCATCTCATGGTCACCGCCTCCCAGATTCCCGTCCACTTTTGCTTCCCCTACTAATTCTCCCCTGTTTGTGAGCAGCAGGTCAAGAAAAGCTCTGCCCCTAGTTGGTTCCTCCAGCACTTGTACCAGGAAATTGTCCCCTACACTTTCCAAAAACTTCCTGGTTGTCCGTGCACTGCTGTATTGCTCTCCCAGCATAGCATAGCAGCCATTATCCATAGGCTGGCTGAAGTGTCCACAGGTGAGGACAAGCCTTTTCCATGGCTATTGTCTTTGATGGGCCGTTAGCACTGTCTAGCTTCTTCATTGTCGTACCCGAAAGGCTAGCAGTGGGTGTTTCCAGCCTCACATCATACTTTAGTAACTCTCACATAGCAAGATTTCATAACTTCACATATGATGATAGCGCATACAATCCAACAAGATATTAATGTTTAGCAGATCAAGACTTTTAAAATACCTCACAAGGCATACTTTGTACAAATCATATAATAATTACATCACCATGAGGAAATATGGGGTGCTGAGTGCTACAGAGAGACATGTACTTGGGATTGGACAGTGTATCTGACTTTCTTTCTGGCTTGTGTTAAAGGCTAATTCTGAGGAGTTCATTCCAGTCTTTGCAAACAACTCCCGGGAGCTGAAGGCTTTTCTGGAGCACATGACAGAGGTGCAGTCTGACTCTCCCCAGGGCGTCTATGACACGCTGCTGGAACTTCGACTCCAGAACTGGGCACATGAACAGGATCTGCAGGTTTGAGCTCCTTTCACCCTGTAGCTAGAGAAGGGGCTTTGGTGGGCCCACCATTTCTATTTGCATCATTTTTCAACCTCTAAGCCAGGGGTAGGCAACCTACAACACATGAGCTGATTTTCAGTGGCACTCGCACTACCTGGGTCCTGGCACCGGTCCAGGGGGCTCTGCATTTTAATTTAATTTTAAATGAAGCTTCTTAAACATTTTAAAAACCTTATTTACTTTACATACAACAATAGTTTAGTTATACATTATAGATTTATAGAAAGAGACCTTCTTAAAACATTAAAATGTATGACTGGCAGGCGAAACCTTAAATCAGAGTGAATAAATGAAGACTCGGCACACCACTTCTGAAAGGTTGCCGAACCCTGCTCTAAGCTCTGCTCGTATGTGGTGTTAATACAGGGTGACCCAAGCATGCTGTGCTGGACAGATGAATGGACAAACCAGCACAGTCCATCTATTACATTCTATTAGGTTAGGCTGGACGCAGTGCCTAAGGGTCTCATTGATTGTGGGTGCTGGAGAATTATGACCCCTTGGGAGAGTGCCTTGTCTCACTCACCTGCACCCTTTCTATTCTGAAAACTGGCTCCCAGCAACCACCTTGATCACTGAGTATTTCTTTGCTAATCAAGGCCAAGGAGAATTCCTCTTATTCTTTTAATAGGGAAAGGGGAAGAACAGAGCAAACTCCTCCTCCTCCTCTCCCCCCCCCTGCTCCTCAGCCCACTGGAGAGCTGCAGGGTAGATGTCTGGTCCTTGGGGTGTCCCAAATTGAGGTGTCAGTAGAGGAGGTTTTGGAACAAATTGATAACCAGTAATAAGTCTCCAAGACCTGATGGTATTCACCCAAGAGTCCTGAAGGAACCCAAATGTGAAATTGTAGGACTACTAACTGTAGTCTGTAACCTATCATTTAAATCAGCTTCTGTACCAAATGACTGGAGGATAGCTAATGTGACACCAATTTTTAAAAAGGGCTCCAGAGGTGACCCTGGCAACTACAGGCCAGTAAGCCTTACTTCAGTACTGGGCAAATTGGTTGAAACTATCATAAAGAACAAAATTGTCAGACACACAAATGAACATAATTTGTTGGGAAATAGTCAACATGGTTTTTGTAAAGGGAAATCATGCCTCACCAATCTACTAGAATTCTTTGAGGGGGTCAACAAGATTGGGGACAAAGGAGATCCAGTGGATATAGTGTATTTAGGTTTTCAGAAAGCCTTTGACAAAGTCCCTCACCAAAGGCTCTTAAGCAAAGTAAGCAGTCATGGGATAAGAGGGAAGGTTCTTTCATGGATTGGTAACTGGTTACAAAATAGGAAACAAAGGGTAGGAATAAATGGTCCGTTTTCAGAATGGAGAGAGGTAAATAGTGGTGTCCCCCAGGGAGCTGTACTGGGCCCAGTCCTATTTAACATATTCATAAACGATCTGGAAAAAGGGGTAAACAGTGAGGTGGCAAAATTTGCAGATGATACAAAACTACTCAAGATATTTAAGTCCCAGGCAGACTGCGAAGAGCTACAAAAGGATCTCACAAACTGGGTGACTGGGGAACAAAATGGCAGATGAAATTTAATGTTGATAAATACAAAGTAATGCACATTGGAAAACATAATCCTAAATATACATATACAATGATGAGGTCTAAATTAGCTGTTACCACTCAAGAAAGAGATCTTGGAGTCATTGTGGATAGTTCTCTGAAATCATCCACTCAATGTGCAGAGGCAGTCAAAACAGTTAACAGAATGTTGGGAATCATCAAGAAAGGGATAGATAAGACAGAAAATATCATATTGCCTTTATATAAATCCATGGTATGCCCACACCTTGAATACTGCATGCAGATGTGGTTGCCCCATCTCAAAAAAGATGTATTGGAATTGGGAAAGGTTCAGAAAAGGGCAACAAAAATGATTAGGGGTATAAAACGGCTTCCGTATGTGGAGAGATTAATAAGACTGGGACTTTTCAGCTTGGAAAAGAGGCGACTAAGGGGGGATATGATAGAGGTCTAGAAAATCATGACTGATGTAGAGAAAGTAAATAAGGAAGTGTTATTTACTCCTTCTCATAATACAAGAACAAGGGGCTACCAAATGAAATTAATAGGTAGCAGGTTTAAAACAAACACAAGAAAGTATTTTTTCACGCATCGCACTGTCAACCTCTGGAACTCCTTGCCAGATGGTGTTGTGAAGGCCAATACTATAACAGGGTTCAAAAGGGAGCTAGATAGATTCATGGAAGATAGGTCCATCAGTGGCTATTAGCCAGGATGGGCAGGAATGGTGTCCCTAGCCTCTGTTTGCCAGAAGCTGGGATTGGGAGACAGGGCATGGATCACTTGATGATAACCTGTTCTGTTCATTCCCTTTGGGGCACCTGCCATTGGCCACTGTCAGAGGACAGGATACTGGGCTTGTCGGACCTTTGGTCTGACACGGTATGGCCGTTCTTATTATTTGCCAAGCTCCTGGAGCTTAACGCTCTGTTTGGTTCTCTCTCCTTTGCAGGTCAAAGAGAAGCTGCACAGTGAAGCCATCACCCTGCTGAAGAGTGGAAGGTTCAGAACAGTCTTCCATAAGGCTTTGGTCCTATGTCAGATGCACAATTTCAAGGATGGTGTCCTCTACCTTTATGAACAGGGCAAACTGTGAGTGCAGCTTCCCTTCCAGGGACTGAGCCTTATTGATTTAGGGACTGGACCACAACCCTTTATGTACTACAAGAGGAAGGTAAGGGTGAGGGTCCTCTGAAAGTCTCAAAGCAGGGATCTAGGTCAGTTGCCAAGCTGAAAAATTAACCTGTGTCTCTGCTGCTATTTTTGCAGAGTGGTGGTGTAATGTAATGTAGGAGGGTCTGGCTGAACTGGGTCTTTGCAGTAGTGTTGGGGAATTATGTGGCCGGGTGACAGGCTGGGGTCCCTGCAGCAGTGAGTAGGGGAGAGGTGGGCTGACCAACTGACCTGCCGCCCCCCCCTCCACTCCCCCGGCTCCCCTTTTTTCAGTTTCCAACAGATCATGCATTATCACATGCAGAATGAGCAGTACAGGAAGGTGATTGAGGTGTGTGAGTTGTATGGAGACCAAGAGACCTGTCTCTGGGAACAGGCCCTCAGCTATTTTGCCCGGAAAGAAGAGGACTGCAAGGAATACATCACAGCAGTACTGAAGCATATTGAAAACAAGAACCTCATGCCTCCACTGCTCGGTAATGACAAGACGTACAGCAAGGAAATAGGGCTAGAATGAGCTCTCTCTGGACAGAGAGTTTGGAGGAATGCAATAGTCAATGCAGCTTTAGATGTTGCTAGTCCACTAGCAGCCTCCACTGTAGGGAAGGCACATACCAGTGATCCCTGATTGAGGGGAGGGCTTACGAATTCTAATCAAGCCTCACAACCTGCCTGTGACTAAGCAGTATCCCCATTCAGTCTCTGTGCCTTGGTTTCCCCTTTGGTGAAGTGACTTGCCCAAGACAGACCATGAACTGGTGACAAAACTGGAATAGAATCCAGGTTTCTTGACTCCCAGTGCCCGGCTCTAAGCACCTTCCTGTCGTCTATTTCTGGAATCCCCTAAGCACATTGGTCACTAGAACCCACAGTTTCCCTGTCTAATTCCGTCTAAAGTTTAGAGTTTTAGTCAAGAGTTTTGTAATTCAGTAAAACCCTGAGCCCTTCGGTCTTTGGATGGCATTTCAGAACAGACCAGTCCAGCTAAGACCAGCATAGCGGTTCCAGCTCTTGGTTTGTTTCTGTATTAATGTGCCGGTTATTCTCAGTTGTGCAGACTCTGGCGCATAACTCCACGGCCACGCTGTCGGTGATTAAGGATTATCTTGTCAACAAGCTGCAGAAGCAGAGCCGCCAGATTGAACAGGATGAGCAGAGGATTCAGAAATATCGTGAAGAGACCACAAGGATCCGCCAGGAGATTGAAGAGCTCAAAAACAGGTGCCGGAGACTCTCACTCTCTCCCTGGCTATATAGAAATCTAGTTTGAGCATCCTATAGTGTGCATCCCCAAGGTCTCCTCCTGTTCTGTTCCCGGTGGTTGAGTGAGCTTGATATGGTTTTGGAGACCTAGAGGGAAAATCCTGCCTTCAGCAGCTGCTCAGGTGCACTGACTCTGGGGTGTCTTACCTTGGGTAGTCCTATTTCTTAATTTTCTTAAGGAAAATCGTATTCTGTCTCTCTCTCTCTCCCCACCCCCAAATTGTCTCAGTCCCAAGATTTTCCAGAAGACAAAGTGCAGCATCTGTACAAGTGCCCTGGAGCTGCCTTCAGTCCATTTCCTGTGTGGTCATTCCTTTCACCAGCACTGCTTTGAGAGCTACTCAGAGAGCGATTCAGAATGCCCCACCTGCCTGCCAGAGAACCGAAAGGTCACAGATATGATCCGAGCCCAAGAACAGAAGAGAGATCTGCATGATCAGTTTCAGCATCAGGTAGGGGTATCACCATCACTGCCCTTTCCCCTTATACCTGCTGGGTTTAAATCTCTGCTGGGCAGGGGCAGCAGGTTTGTAGAAATTTTGGTGGTGCCTAGAATGCCCAGAGCCCACCCCCTCAAACTCTGCCCCCTAACTGCCTAAGGCTCTAGGAGGGAGTTTGGGTGGGGGGAGGAGGTCTGGGGTGCAGGCCCTGGGCTGGGACATGGGATTAGTCCTGCTTTGAGCAGGGGGTTGGACTAGATGACCTCCTGAGGTCCCTTCCAACCCTGAGATTCTATCATCTATGATTAGGGTACAGGCCCTTGGAGGGAGTTTGAGTGCAGAAGGAGTGAGAGGTTTGGGTGGGGGAGGGGGTCTGGAATGCGAGGTGCAGGCTCTGGGAGGGAGTTTGGGGACGGGAAGGGGTGCAGGCTCTGGAAAACGGAGTTTGGGAGTAGGCTCTGGGAGGGAGTAGAGGGCTGGGGTGCAGGCTCTGGGAGAGTTTGGGGGCAGGAGGGTGTGTGGGGGAAGGGGGTGAGGGATGCAGGCTCTGGGTTGGAGTTTGGGTGCAGGCTCTGGGAGGGAGTTTGGGGGCAGAAGGGGGAGGTGTGGGAAAGGGGTGGGGGTGCAGGATCTAGGAGGGGTTGAGGGGGTGCAGCACTTACCTGGGACTCCTAGGCAGGGCGGGGGGCCTCCGCACGCAGCTTCCCCCAGGCGCTGTCCCCGCAGCTTCCTATTGGCCACAGGGATGCTTGGGGCGGGAGCAGCGTGTGTAGACACAAACCCACCCCGCCAAGGGGCCGCAGGGAGGGGCCGGCAGCCATGTGGAGCGAGCAGGCAGGAAGCCACTCAGCTCTGCTGCGCTGCCAGTGGTGGGTGGGGGCCCTGGGACGTTTTAAATCGCCCGGGGGATGCATGGGGGGAAGCGCCCAGGGGTGGAAGGCTGGGCCAAGGGAGAGACCCGCCCTCAAACAGTGCTGGAGATGGGCCCCGGGCCAGGAATATTCCTGGTGCCCAAGCACCACGGGCCCATAGAACTCGCCGCCCATGCTGCTGTGAACAGTATGCGTTAATATACACAGGAGTTCAGGCTCCTGTGCTGTTTGTGAGACTTGTTGAGAATAGGAAAGGATGAAGCTACTTTGCAAACAGGTCCTTATTGAACCTGAATTGTGGAGCATTGGTAGCTGAATTACTTGTCTCTGAGGTGCCTTTCATACCAAAGGATTCTTTTGTGCTTTACGAATGGAGGTATCTAGAAGTAATTTCCCTTCAGCTGTCACTGAAAGGCATCCACCTGTAGAGTGGAACATGACAGCTGCGCAATAGCATACAGTAACACTGCACAACAGTTTGATCTGAAATTACAGTGAAATTGAGGGAGGTAGAAAATAGTTGGTCAAGTTGGCCGAGGCAGGTTTAAGACTGTAAAGGTAGAGTCTCTCCTGTCAGACCTTTTCTAAGCAAGGATTTAAAATGTTAGAAAAATCTAATGTAGACAAGGCAGTGTGTACTTTAACATATGCTAAGTTGGTGGTGTTCAAAAGCATAGGGTCATAGGGTTCAATTTGATTTGACAGCACACGATTTAAATGGAGATGAACTGAATATTTAGGTGAACATGTGGATAATCAGGAAGGCTGAATATCCTAGCTGCAGAAAACCTTTCTTGAGGTGTGTATTAGTATAAGAGCTTCCACCAAGAGTGACAATGCTCCTTTGCTTATGTAACACAAATGCTGCAAAATGAAGTGACTAAATATGGTTGAGATTGCAGCAGATGGCGCATGAGTGCTTTTGGAGCAGGACCCAACCCTCTTTTAACGAAGCTTCTTTTTGTCTTTGACAGCTCAAGTGCTCTAATGATGGCTTCTCTGTTGTTGCTGATTACTTTGGTCGTGGGGTTTTCAACAAGCTCACTCTCATCACGGATCCGCCCCCAGGTAAATCAGCCACAACTATTGATGCTGGCCTGCAGAGGGAACTCCTCATACACACAAAACGCAGCACCTAGAGCCATGCCTTCCCTGGGACGCCTCCTTGTGGATCTTGTACTATACTTATCTTGAAGACTCTGTAAATTAGTTGCTTCTTGATTTCTTTCAACCCCGCCAATGAACTCGGATGGAACTTGACTGGGGAGGATGTGAGCTCAAGTGGCTATAAAACTACCGTGTTGTTGGGATATATATATGATGCAAAGAACGGTGCACTTTCTGGGAGAGTTTGAGTACAGGTCATGGTGCATAGCACCCCTCTGACAGCTTCACAGTGCCTTAAGCCCTGGGCACACCAACCTGTCTGCAACGCTACAGGGCAATCTCTGGTGTCACATTTGCACAGCACAAAGCCTTTTGCAGCAGGTTTCTGCTGGGCAGTAACTGATTGTCCTGTGGGCTGGGTCAGCCAGTGCTGCACCTAATTACCACTATACTAGCTTGACAGAACAGAAGGCTACGAAAAATAATTGGGTTTCTTGTCCAATGGTCGAGTGTTGTGTGGTGTGCTTGTCTTGGGTTTTTTGTTGATTTGTTTTTTAATTTAGTTGCTTGTAGGCCAGAGATCAAGTTTGGTTATCACTGATGGAAAATAAGAATTTGGGGCCAGATGGTCTTTTAGGGGTGTAATTGCTTCATTTGGTTGCTCTGAGATGATTTTATGTAATGAAGAATGTCCTAATAGGCATGTAGATAGAAATTCAACTCAAATGTGAGTTCAGAATTTCTCCTGGCAGCTGCTCGACCCATGTTTCACCTGTATTAAAAGTGACCTCACACAAATTCAGTTGTGCTGTAACTGTCTTTCCATTTAAAGGTTAGAATTGCTTACTGTAAGACATTTCTTATGTACATACTTTGAATTTATGCATGTTTTGTAGCTCAGAGAAATGTGAACATAGGCTTTTTCTTAATGTGAACTGACTGTGATGATTTAGGGATATAATCTGCCCTGCAGGGGCTCTTGGAGCTACAAGTTATGTATCTGAAAAGAGAAGAAAATACACTTCTTCATAACAAGTAAAATGTAGGGTTTTCTCTTATAGAAATGCAAAAAATGTTTAACACAGTGCATATTGATCTTATCTATATATAAAATAACTTCCAGTCCCTCACGCTGCCCCAAAGGCAAATCCCAGGCCCACTAACTGCACATAAGCAATTGTCAGAAAATCCCCTCTATTTCTGTAGTACTGTGTTGCTGAGCTATGGATTGTGTATTGATTATATTGATCACTTAAGAATTCCCTGTTATCACTCTGAGGTTTGACAGGTTTTTCCTAACATCAGGCCCAGTATTATTAAAATTACTGCTGAGTTGGGAACCTCAATGGTGGGTGCTGAGCACCCATCGGCAGCCCCCCATCAGCTCACCCCCAGCGCCTCCTGCCCGCTGGCAGGCACTGTGGATCAGCAACCCCCCATCCCTCCCTGTGCATAAATTTAGGGCCTTACTTACCTTTGTTTAAACCCCTGCTTTTTACATAACACAACAGATAACATGGAACTGCCTTCTGTTCAACTAGAATATGGGCCTTTGGGCTGTTCTTTATGCAAATACACTGGTTTT